TCCCTTGTCCGCTCCGCCAACGGCGCCCAGCAGCTCGTTGGCCCTCTTTGTTTGCGGCCGGGCCGAGGCGGACGACGCGAAGCGTTTATAATGATAATAAGGAGCCCCCCAACATAGTCTAGCTAATACTGTAAGGCCCCTCTATTGAACCCTAAACCCCAAAACCCTTAACCCTTAACCCTTAACCCTTTAAACCCTAAGCCCTAAACCCTACCCTAAACCCTAAACCCCAAACCCTAAACCCCAAAAACCCTAAACCCAGAACCCTAATTAAACCCCAAACCCTAAACCCCAAAAACCCTAGACCCTAAACCCTAAACCCTAAACTACCCCAAACCCCAAACCCTAAAACCCCTAAAAACCCCAAAAGGATCGGGCCTCTGCTCGTCCGCGAGCATCATCTCGAGGCGCTTGGCTTCCTCCTTCGCGGCCTGCTCGGCCTGCAGGCTCGGGGTCTAAGTGGGGTTTAGGGTTTAGGGTTTAGGGTTTAGGGTTTAGGGGTTCAGGGTTTAGGGTTTGGGGGTTCAGGGTTTGGGGGATTAGGGTTTAGGGGGGCTCAAGGGGTTTCTAGGGTTTAAGTTTCAGGGTTGAAGGTTTAAGTATAAGGTTGACTGGTTTAGGGTTTAAGTATAAGGTGGATAGGTTTAGGGTTGAAGTATAAGGTCGATGGGTTTAGGGTTTAAGGTTTAGGGTTTAATCAGGGTTGAGCATGGTCTAGGACTCCCGGAGTCTAGGATGTAAAACGGTTTAGAGCTTGAGGCTCTTAATGAGGGATAGGGGTCTTCAAGATCTTGAGTCTCATTCAGGATCTGATTTTTGAGTCTAGTCTTAAGGTTCGAGGGTCGTCGTAGGTGCAGCTCTTGATCATGTGGCGTTGTATAAGGGTTGCGAAATCGGGTTTAGGGATATTCGAGGTTCATTATCCGGACCCCCCAACGGCCCTTAAATAGAGCCCTTATGGTCCTTACAATAGTGGTTGGGGGGTCTAGGTACAGGGTCTTCTGAAAGGCGTAAGGGTCTCACTTAAGGCGTAGGGGCGTCGATGGAGGCTTCAGGGTCTGAAGGGCTTTGGGGTCCGAAGGGTTTTGGGGAATTTGGGGCCAAATTAGGGCTTTGGGGTTTAGGATTCAGGGTTTAGGGTTTAGGGCTCAAGAGGTTTAGGGTTTAGAGTTTAGGGGAAAGGCAAAGCGCTGAGGAGTTGCAGTTGCTGGTTCTTCGGCTAGGATCTCCTCATACGCGCAAGTGTGTGCGTCTGACATAATTCCGCCTTTACGAAGAATTACTCATACTTAAACCCCTAAACCCCTAAACCCCCAAACCCCTAAACCCTAAACCCTAAACCCTAAACCCTAAACCCTAAACCCTAAACCCAATGCCTTGGGATACTTCATAAAGACATAGACTGGAGACCCCAAGGTCCTATTCTAATTATGAAAACCCCTAACTAATATAGAGACTTTTATAATTACCTATATTATTTTAAGAGTTTAGGGTTTAGGGTTTAGGGCTTAGGGTTTAGGGTTTAGGGTTTAGGGTTTATGGTATTTATACTATAAAGGACCCCAGAACCCTATTCTAATTACTAAGGGCCCTACACCCTAAACCCCTGTAGTAACCCCTTTAGGGGGATCTTCAGAGCAACGCTGAGACAAAAGCCTGAACGCTCATCTTGGAGCTCTGAAACCCAGACCTTGTCCTTTAGGGTTTAGGGCTTAGGGCTTGGGGTTCAGGGTTTAGGGTTTAGGGTTTAGGGCTTGGGGTTTAGGGTTTAGGGCTCAGGGGTTCAAGGTTTAGGGATTCAGGGTTAGGGCTTAGGGGTTTAGGGTTTAGGGCTTAGGGGTTTAGGGGT